AAACTGAAAGCTACAGAACAGCTACTAATGCTATTCATTCATTCATTCACATGTTTGTTTGTTTGTTTATTTATTTGACAAGGACAGTGCACAGCTTCTGAGATGCACCACAGTTAGCTATGAGCTAATTTACATCTGTAGTCCCTCGGCAGGAAACAGAGTAAAACATCTCTGTTCAGAAACACTGAAAGAAAATTAACACTCTGGTATAAAAATATAATTACAAGTAATGGACATTTTATGGGTGGTGTGTCCTCGCCGTCATTGGTGTCAGTATGTAACAGTAGACCCTTTGTATATTTAACAGATTGAACAGGTGAGCCAGCTTGCTGCACTGGTGCATGCTCAGGTGGAGTACCACAGTCGGGCTGCTGAGATCCTCACACAGCTGTCCAGTAAGATCGACGAACGGTAAGTACTCACGCTTCCTGTTTCACTGGGTCGTTTTGTTTTACCATACCTTATTGGATGTATTTACAATATCATATTGAATTTTATATAGGTTTTTTTTGTGCATTGAGGGATTCTGTGTTTTCCACTTTGCAGGATAAGGGACACTACTGTCAAACCAAGGAAAGAGTTTGCTCCTAAACCACGCACGTCTCTGGACTTCTCCATCAGTGAGAACCACAATGGAGGCATCCACAGTGCTCGCTCTCCAGGTGAGACACCGAATGCAAACCTCATTGCTCAGAAACATGTCCAGAAACTAGTCCTGGTGCTCCATATGCATTGTGGTATCTCAGTGGGATTTTTTTTGTATATGAAAACCTACTACTAAATCCTGATTCTGATCAGTTTCAACTCGCAGAACAATAAAAAACTACTGTAGTATTTGCCTGTAACGGATAGTTTCTTGACTAGTTTCTATTAATTCATTATATTTTTTCCTTTAACAACCCTCTCTATGCTTTTCATTTTTACTGTAAATTCTCAAATACAAGCCAGAATTGATGCTGGTGATGTATCATAATGCATTACAGGGTAAAGTTTTCCAACCAAATCATTCTCCAGGACCTTTCCAGGACATTTTCCAGGAGGTTTTCTTGACAATGCAGGACAGCACTTGCCTACAAACGGTCATATAAGCTGTGGTTTGGGGCAGTTGACTACATTAATTTGTCCACAGTCCATAAATAACAAATCAAGTAGAATTTATTTTATTTTACAGAAAATGTATCTTCTAGAATGTTAATGTGTTAATTGCACATACAATTAACATCACTGTGCATGTATTTATCAACCACAGAAACAAGGATTGTGATCATTATTAGGCTGTGTGCATGTAGACTTAGACTTGATGCTAAAAAGAATACTGCAAGGCATTTACACTTTGTAGCTGATAAACCCCAATAACTACAGTTTATCCTACCAACAGTGAAGTTTCAAACAAAATACACACCTTGGTTTACACAAATGAGCTGAGTGAGGGGCTAAAATACAAAAACTTCTAGGACAACATAGATTATTTCCAGAATATTTAATAATTTTAATTCATTTACAGGTTTCCATGACTGGAAAATTTGTCTTTAAGTTTCCAGCTTTTACCAGTTTTCCAGGACACGTGGGAACTGTGTTAGAGTAATCTACACAGACACAGTACATATAATCAGTACAACATCATCATTCTGCTCAATTTTACTTCAAGCTACTGAAATACAACATTTGATCAGGAAGAGGGTTGTTTCTAGTTAGTTGGTCTCTTTGGTGAGAGACATATGCACACTTAGAAGTACAATAAGTAAACACATGCAGAAATAAACAATGTACAAACATCATTACTTCCAAATAGGACATCATATTGCAAATATTTTGACAGATATTGTGATTGCGTTATGATTTACAAGTAGTGGAAAATGATCCTTTTTGCATACATTTATTTTCCACTGAAAAAAATAATATTAAAATCATGATGATGTCAAATCTTTTGGGCTCTGTACGAAACAAACATGTTTTCTTAAATCTAGAGAAGAACATTTTAGGCCAGGGCATCTCTTCAGAACTACAGTGCTTCATTGTAACATTTTACCTTTATCAGAAAATTGCAGCTTCTGCGATTTTAGATATTGCACTTGGCCATATTGACAGGGGTCTTTCAAAAGCAGAATATTAGAATTTAGTTTCTCTATAAAAAATATTGTTTAAAATAAGGTAATTAGTACCCCGTTTAAAAAAAAAAAGCACCACACTTTAATAAAAAGGCAGATATTTGAGAATTTACAGTGTATTTACTGTGTTTGCTAATTTTCTTTTTCCCAGCTCTTTTTTTCCCCCTAACATTTCCGTTATTACCTGTACTGAACAGAATATCCATCAACCCAGAACAAAGTAATACAACTCTGCACTCTTTTCTTTTCCCCTATGATTTTTGTTAATTCTTCCAGGGGCGAGGTCTCCAGGTGAGCCAGGTCAAACTTATCTGTCAATATGTTTCTCCGTCTTTGTGCTCATTAATTCATTTTTTTAACATCCTTTCATTTACACTTAAAACTCAAAACTACTTCTACTGCTTTCTTTCCCCCTCCCTCCCTCGTGTTGTCCCCTCTTCCCTCTTTGCAGCAAGGTCTCCAGGTGAGACAAAAGTGAATCTCCGGAGAGATAACATAACCATATCTCTTCCATCCACTTTGTCATTCATGGGTTTCCATCTCTCTTTTTGTTTGTCTCTTTGTTATGAGAAAATTGTTGCGGTCAAATGATACAAACAAACAGCAGAAAAACAAGTGCCGTCCGTCTACTGTACAAAGAATGCAGACCTACACTAACAATGAAAAGCTTACCGGTGGACGAGCATTTGCTCTTTCTGTTTTGTTCACTTGTCAGTCTTCTGGTCCGTTTTATCCTCCTGTTTCTTTGTCTGTCTGCTGCTCTTTTCAATTTGGTGTCCAACTTGTGTTTCTCCTCGCTTTGTTTATTGACCTTTTCATTGCTGCACCTTCTGTACTTATCCATATCAATTCATCATCTGTCCATCTAGAAAAATGCTATTAAACATAAACACTACTGCTCTTTGTTCACCTTTGTTTTCTCCTTTCCCCTTTGCAGCAAGATCTCCAGGTGAGCAAGAGTGACTTGGGAAGAGATGTAAAATCTCTCTATCACTCTTATTTTTTATCCTTGTTTAAATGGACTTTTGTGAAGATATATTTTTGTTTGCAGTGCAGCTTGTCTGCAGTGCTGTCTCTGTCTAACCCCTGTTTTCTCTTTTGTCCCTATGTTTTATCAAATTGCTTTCTTTTTTTGAACTATTAAAGGAATAGTTTGACTTTTGGGAAATTGGCTTATTTGCTCAGACTCAGATTCGTACTAGCTTAGCATAAAGACTGAAAACGTGGGGGGAAACTTCTTGCTTGGCTTTGTCCAAAGTAGGGGTTGTTATTATTACTGGAAGTAATTAATTCAAGCCAATAGTTAACTAGTCGTCGACCGTTTGTGATGTCCATTTCATTATATATTTTAACAGCAGCCTATTAAATGAGAACAGAAACGGTAATGACTCTGAATGTGTCAGAACGAACAGCACAGAGACTGAACATTTAATTTACTTCACACAAGTCTCATTCAAAACTTGTAATAAATAACTTCCAGCTTCACAAAAATGAATACTAACGGATACGATGGATGATGTATAAAGTTAACAAAATAACTAACTACAAACTCACTCCTCTCCCACTTCTCGCTTCTCTTGAACCTGCCATCTCTAGTCCTGGTTGGAGCCACTGTAAATCAACTGACTGTGTTCGGCCGCCTACTCGCTCAACTCAGGCTATGGTTCTCATACCGGCCCGCTCCCTGGCAGCATCCAAAGCTCCTGTGCTATTGGTGTAAACAACTCTCTTGAGCTCACAGTCGTGGTACAGTCAGCTAATAGGCTAAATAACTACCTGGTGACCGCAGCTAGTACAGTTACCACCATGCAGTGACTCCCTGTGTTACAAGAGAAAACGTCCGTGTTGCAACAATCCCCTGATGCTTTCATCCCAGTGACAAGGCGCAGCTCTCGAACAGAGTTTAACATTGTTTTTGTTTTTCTGCGACTAGCCGACTAATGAAAAGTCAGTCAACTATCGTGGGGCAGCTGTAGTCCAAAGGCAAGAGATCCGGCCACCAGCTCACTGATTTATTTGTTTTATGGGGCATTATGTGCCGGACTAATTCTTCGCTGGGAGCAGTAACTTCCTTGAGGCTCAGCTTGTTGCCTGACAACTGCTCAAGGCCAAGAAATAGTGGTGAATGGTGAATTGTTGATTTGAATTAGCTTTAGAGGTGCTGGTAGGCGGGTTTGTCAGGGTTGGACAGAGGAGGGTTAACTGCTTCCTCTAGCCCTGACTTTGTCCTCCACTGTGTGGTACTCGACAGTTGGTGAGATCTGCAGTTGTAGTGCCTGTTTTCCCTCCAGCGGCCACAGGGGGCAACAATGAGCCCATCACACACACAAAAAACTAACTGACAAGCGACACAGTGAGATTTATACCCCTGTTTCCAGACTTTATGCTGAGCTAAGCTAGCTTGCTGCAGGCTGCAGCCCTAACAGACAGATAGGAGAGTTGTATCGATCCTCTTATCTAACTCTCTGCCAGAAAGAGTATAAGTGTATTTTCCAAAAAGGAGAACTGCTCCTTTAAACGCTGAATGCCTCATTATTATTTTCTGGTTACTGATGGTCATATTTTGTGTCTCTTTTGCTTTGTCTCCTCCACTCGTCTTCCTTCTCTTCTCTTCCCCCCTTTCAGCCAGGTCTCCAGGTGAGCCTTTCACAAGCTTTTCTTTCATTATGATCATTATGTCTCTAATCTATATGCAGCTTCTTATTTCCTCCTCTAGCCTTTCTTCTAACTCTCCTTTTCTTTTCGCTCATAATTATTTTGTCTAGCCCCTATGGACCAGCCCTGCTGTCGTGCCCTCTACGATTTTGACCCTGAGAATGAAGGTGAGCTAGGCTTCAAGGAAGGCGATATCATCACCCTGACCAATAAGATCGATGACAACTGGTACGAGGGGATGCTGCACGGCAACTCTGGCTTCTTCCCCATCAACTATGTGGATATCCTGGTGCCACTGCCCCACTAGGACGTCATCCTTACCAGCTGTGTCTACAACGGTGGCAAAACAAATCCTGGCCTCCAATTCCTCCCTCCCAGTATTCCCAGTAACCTTTTTCCTAAACATTCCTACCTTTACTCCACTTTAAAGGAGTAAAAACAGCAACAACACAATAACGAACGAAGATATGAACAAAGATTGACGACAAATTAAAGCGAGTATGCACCAATTGAGCGTAAAAACTTTAAATGAGGAAAAATCTGCATTGATGTCGTTGCTTCCCCTTATCCCAGGAGGCACCTTCAGGCTTCTATAGTCATTTTATCCATTTCTGTCCTGGCTTTGTCTCAGTTTATGTTGGCTGTCAGTCCGTCATGAGTTTATCAGAGCAGCTTTACAAAATCACACTTTCTCTCATTCACTGTACTTTGTGGAAACCTCTACAGTAGATAGAAACTTTTCTCTCACATACTAGAAAAAAAAATCGGTCCACGTGCTCCATGTTTGTTAGAGACTCTAGGTCAAGCATGGTTTCAAGTGTTTAACGTTTTATCTTAATAAAAATTTAAAAAAAATGTCAAGCAGATTTTGTTTTGTTTTTACATATTCCTCTTTGTAATGGTAGTCGTCTCTTGGCATGCTCGGGCAGTTTCTAGAGAAACCACGTCCCTGTCATGCTCCAAAATCGTCTGTCCACAGGATGTCTTTACCTTTTAACTATTCAGAGTTTTGACAAAAGTTTAGACAGATTCATCTAGCTCATAACTAACAACCAAGATTACCCATAGTATCTTTTATTTCTTACATATCAACATGTGCGCGTGATTGGTCGTATGTGATTTAGGTACCAAAGTTACCTGCAGAAACCCGAATCAGCTCCAGTTTTAGCTTCAAGATTTCAAGACAGCATGGTGTCAATAAATCTGCTCGATGCAACCGGGTGAAGCTTGCAATTTCTAGTTCTTTGGTATTCTCATCAGGAGGGGGTGAAACTGTATTCTTAAGTATGTGACATTACATATCTGAGCCAGTGATTAGTGGAGTGATGACATGATTTGCAAAAACACAAGTTGTGAAGTTAAACTGTTTGAAGTGACGTAAGAAAACTATGGTGCATAAGTTTCAATCCTCCAACGTGTATTTTAATCAGCAGCTTGTGTGAAAAATGGTTGATGTATTGTGATATAATAACTTATGGGACTTAAACACTCATTGGGGCAACTGTTTTTTCTGCAGCTGAGGGCGTAGCTCTTTCTACTGCATCCCTATTAGTCCGATTAGTATTCTGTAGTTTAGCTGTCTATAAACCATTGATTAAGATGAAATTAGACATAGCCAAGGAGTGCACAAATGGCTGAACGGAATGAGAAATTGTTTCTTTTTGTCTCGGTGGAAATGTTTTATTAATTGAAATGATGCAACTTACACTAAAAACCCTTTTCTCCAACATAATATGGACTAAAAGCCGCTGGTTTACCCTTCATGTCACATTAGACCTCAGAATAATTGCTCGTTCTAAGATTATACATTATGTTTAATTTTCCCCAACCAGCTTTATGGTTGTATGCAGTATTGTGTGGGATTTTTTGTCCCTTCTTTAACTGATGTACTGATGATCTAGAAAACAACCTCTTATTACAGTACACATATGTTAGTCAGCTGAGCACTTCCCTGGAGTTTTATTCTCTGTCGACAATGTATTAACCCTTCTGCAGAATAATGTGTGCAGCAGTAAAACAATTTTTTTCACCCATCATGTAGTAATGTTGTGCGTGTATTTTGGGGGAGGGGTGCGTATTTGGGTCTGCATACTGTACGTATTATGCACAGGGATGGGGTTGCAGAGGACCTCTGATGCTGAGGTATACTGTCTCTGACAGTTTTTCAACATTAAAACAAACATGGATGTCTCTTACCAATTCATTATATTCAGTAGAATTACAATAAATGATGCAAAATCCACTGATATCCCATATTAAGTGTTTGGTTTTTTAAAAGGGAAGCACAACTTTGAACAGAAAGTATACTTTGTTGGCTGGGGAAGAATAATGATACAGTTTGAAGGTCATGTATTTATTTTTTTTAAAGGCAATACAGTTCCTTCCTTCTTTTTCTCTTTTCACTTTTTTTTTAACAATCGTGTGTATCTTTGCCCTCAATGAGGACTGTACAGCTTTTCTGTGTTTTGTTTTCACCTTGTGTGTATAGTCGCGCATCTACAGTAACGTATCTTATTTTTGTAACTGTGACAAAAGTATACACATACAGTATAGATGTATATATACAGTATATTATCCAGAAGCAATGTGAAAGGAGGGATTCTCTGTGCTGCACATGATTGTCTTTTGGTTTGTTTTTGTTTTGTTTGTTTTGCGTTTTTTGGTTTCTTTTGTTCTTGCACTGGATTCTAAGACTGTATGCTTGATGTAAAGAAAAAAATGTGATAAGTCAATGTAATTTATTCAAATAAATACCAAGAAATAGTTATTGCCCTAATGACTTTCTGTTCATAGATGCACACGCCTAAAACCTAAATGTGTCGCAGGTAGAAATCATTTTGAAAAACTTTTCCGAACAAATTTAAACCCAAACTAAATGTGAAATCATTTAATAGTTTGCTTATCATCTAGTTTATGTAACCGCTATCTAGCTGTTGTTTTCAGAACATGGAGGTGACACAGCAGGGACTTGGTGCAGCAAATAGAAGAAGACGATAGATGCATTATTCATTTTCCTGGTAGATTCTTTCATGTCCTCTTGCAAGAATCCAACTGGAAAAAAATAGGTCAGGTAAGAAAATCTCTTTTGTACCTCCAAGACAACTGATAATGTTGCACTAACAGGATTATTAAGACATTTCAAAGTCATGACTACAGCTTCAAGCATCTTAAAGGCTCTAAGAGATATGAAACACGCGTAAACTGGGATAGACAATGCAAACTTTGCACAACGTGTACTGTACAAATAGAGAATTATAGTAGAGCTGTAGTAAACCCTGTAAGTCAACTGCTATCAGCAGTGGTGAAGGCAACAAAGTAAATTTGCTCAAGCTCTGCACTAAAGTAAAGTACAAGTGCTGCAAAATTGTATTTCTATTTCCATTTTACCAGTTTCCATTTACTCTTGCAGTTCACAGGAAAATATTCGAAAATAGTACGGTTTATACATTTACATACATTTATACATTTATTTAACAGTTATAGTCACTAGTTACTTTTTAGATGAAGTGTTTATATAAAACGTGATCATCGTATAAAATGTAATGCAACATTACAGATTAAACTACCCAAATAAATATTTAGTTGAAATTAGCTTAATCTCAACCAACTGCAACATAAGAAATCCAATTTACACGCAAATAAATACTTGAATAAGATTATAAATGTTAATGTCACACAGACAGAGGCCATTTATCTACATATAAAGTACTTTTACGTTTGATACTTTACACTTCACTTGGAGTATTGTTACATTATTGTATTATGTTAGGGCTGAAAACAACACTTTAAGAGCAGTGAGAGTAAAACAAAACACTAAAGTTGTGGTCAAACAGCTGAACAATGAACTGCAACTCATTCTAAAGCTCTGTGAAGCTGAAGGGAGATACTGCATGGTCTGCATCTACCACAACTGTAAACAAGGAAGGGAGTTTGGTGATGTATGGCTCAACATTTTACACAGGAAACTACAATGATTGGTCAAATTTGTGGAAAGGTTGTGGTGATTGCAATGTTGCACAGAATTCATGGGGATTGGTTGAATTTGTCCAGGTCTAGTGTGTAACAGGAGGCTCTACTGGCAGAAATGGAATATAATATTTATGGGTAAGTTTTCATTAGTGTATAATCACCTGAATATAGGAATCATTTTGTTTTCATTACCATATGAGCCGTTTTATCTACAGACGCCGCAAGTCAACTTTCATAGAGTCTGCCATGTTGAACCGC